TTCCTCCGAAGTTCAGCATCTTGTCATTTCAGTTAAATACTAATACAGTGTTCAGCTTCAGTCATTTTTCAACTATCCATGAAGAAGTACTGCTATTTCTGTATATGAGCATAAAAGAAATTCCTCTCCATGTTTCTTAATTTAAAAACAACAACAACAACAACAACAACAAAAAACAACAAACAAAAAGAATGGCACAGTTTTAAAAAGAGAGCATAAGCTGTTATAGAACCTTGCCCTGCAACAAAGTTTTGCCTATTTAATTTGTTCAAGAGCAGGTGGTGTTGTTAAATGACCTCTATCCACTCATACGGAGGTATCACTTTCTGTAGAGCTTCCTTGTTTGGCAGACAGTGGTACAGTGAAATGGCAGATTGGAAACTGATGCTAAAGAAATTCATGCTATACATACATGAAGCAACTGAAGCAAGTGGATCTAAAGGTTTACAATTTTTCCTGTTTTAATGTCTCAATTTGAAGATTAGATGTCTTTCTAAATTTATGATCTGATTGAACCTTGCTGCAGGGATTATCAGGCAATGCTCTATTGCTCACGTTAAGAAGGGACTCAAATTAGGTAGAACATAACAGCTCCTTCTGTTCTTAAAATCTTACAGTGGTGAATCATCCAATCACTTTCCCACCAAACCCACAGAAGATAAGAATGAATATTTCCAAGGGGAAAAAAAAAAAAAAGCAAATAATTCCTCTAAAAAATCACACACATATTTGAGGACTTTGGTAGTATCTTGAAAATAAAAAAAAATGCATCTGCAATCTCAAAAGTCACTTTTGAGAAAAAAGAGAAATTTGCTAAAAAGATTTAACGCCAACAGCACTTGCGGCCCATTCCTCACAAGCAGAGTTTTCACAGAATAACAGAATGGCTTGGGTTGTGAAGGGACCTCAAAGATCATCAAGTTCCAACCTCCGTGCTGCGGGCTGGGCTGGGATGAAGACCACTAGAGCAAGACATCAGACTGCCTAGGACCCCATCCAGCCTGGCATTGAGAACCTCCAAGGATGGGGCACCCACAGCTCTGGGCAGCACCTCACCGCCCTCTCAGTGGAAAACTTTCCCGACATCTAATCTAAATCTCCCTCCTTTTGTTTAAAGACATTCTCACTTGTCCTGTCACTATCTAACATGTAAAAAGTTGGATTTCTTCCTGTTTTATAATCTTCTTTCAAATATTGGGAGATTACTGGAAGTTTTGTGCAGCGTTGGCCTCACTCCTGCCCTTGTAACCCACCAACTTAAGTCCTAACTCTCAGACTTCTAACATTTCTCCTCGTGTTTTGTTCTTCCCTTCTGACAGACCAGCTAACGTCAAGGTCAAACACAATCTGACAGTGGAAATCAGCATGGTGCCAGTCAGTAACTTAGGAACACACTGCTGGCTAAGCTCAATGCCGCATGCTGGATCTGATTAATGGGCATTACAACATTTTCAAGCCCAACCTTCTGCAGCCTGTGTTAGTACTGCAGCATTTTTTGCATTTTATGAGTAATTTAATGTGATAAACAGTATGAAACTCCTGGGCTATGCAGGCAAACAGGCAATGTACAAACTTGATTTCAACTTCAAGAAAACTCCTGTGGAAATACCTGAAGAGTGATATTTTTAAAAGGTCCTTTAAGAGATTTACGAGTCTTAATGCTCACTGTCAAAGTGACTGGTCAGGATAAGACTCACTGCAACAAGTTCAACTTGTTGATACACCTGACTGTGCTTGCGTTTGTGTGCCCCACCTCAGGGTCCACTGCAGGCTCGTGGAGGTGAGGGAATGAAGGAGAAAGCTGCAAGCACATCTGCAATTTGGTTTGAGGGCTGAGGATCTTCCCAGGTGGTACCATTTGGAGGCTGACATGAGACCCTGACTGCCTGGCTGCCCACAGTTGCAGGTTTATTCTTCAGTGTTCAGAATGTCACTTTCCACAGACAGGAATGGTTTCATGTCAGCTAGGAAACAGATTTTCTGCACCAAACATTTTACTGTGGATGGAGAGTTTCCTGATGAGGTGAACAAGGGGTCCAGTAATGTCCAGTTTCATCTTCTGAAGCTCACTTGAGATATGGATAAGACTTGCCTGGACTGGACTTCTCCCCCAAATTCAGTAACCTATGTAGTACAGTGTGTTTCATTATGAAATTCCTCTGCAGGCATTTACGGGAGAACATACTTCCATAACTCTTCCCTAATAACTGCAGTTTTCCCAAGACACAGTTGCACTGTCATGTGAAAGAAGCACATCATGATGCTGAACTCCCACTCTGCAAGCTCAATATGAAAAGCAAGTGCTGGTGTAGTGCTCCATCTAAGCCCATGGGCTGCACTGATAACAAGTGCTCAAGTTGCCATGCTAGTTGTGGACATACACAGCTAAGCCAAGGAAGCACTAAGATGTGCAAAGCAGCTTTTTCAAGCTTGAATCTCTGTAAGCCCTGGGTCCTCTATAACCTGCCTCATGTGTCAGAGCAGGTATTCAATTTAGTCATCAACAGCAGAATAAATTCAGACAAACACAAGGGTCATCAAAAGATCTAACATTTCTTCCTGCATCAACCAAGACTGCAAAGTATAACCGACATATTTACCTAAAAAATTCAGAACAATGTGTTTGTATATGCTACAAAAGTACTTCCAGATATTCCAGTGCACAGACATCTTGGAGAACAAACACATACTCAAAATTAACATGCTGTTTTATGAGATGGAGTTCAGATCTTAATATAACAAGAACATAAGTCAGCCCAGAAGACAAAGCTTCTACCTCTTTCAAAACTGATGGATTATACTTCGCTCATTTTGCCTTTAATATTTCTACTGTAACTCTGAATATCCTGGATGATACTGATCACCTTCCTTTCCCACCTCCTTCTTTTGGTATATGTCTCTCAAACACGTGCAAACTTTTGCTCATTCTACCTCCTAAACCTTGCTCATTCAGGCTATTCATCTAAAACATTATTGTAATTGCTCTTCTATTTTTAACCTTCCATATCTTTAGGTTATTCATAAGTGTTTGAGGTTTCATCCTGTGTTCCACAATAAGGTCACATTAAAATGACCTTACTGCTCAGATCCTTACATAGTGCAAATGATGACTGCTTAGCTGAAGTCAAGGAACACTCATTTATGAGATGTGTCTGTTAATTATCTTGATTTCTGTTGACTGATCTTTTAATAAAAATGAGCACACTGAAATGAGAATAAGAAAGAATATATCATGAAGATGAACATGTTTTCTACCTTGCCGAACACAAGGATTTCACTTGAAAAAGAACCCCCAGGGAAATTAGGACATGTCAACAGTATTCAACTAGCTTGTAAATACACGATAAATTTATGTAAGCAAGCAAGCAAATATGCATGGATTAATGATGCTATAAGCAGAAATCTATTGTTTGTAACAACATATGCAAAATTTTCTTTCAATCAAGTGCCAAAGTGTGACTCATTTTCTGCATTATGGGAATCACTCAATCTTCCCAAGTAATATGGCTGAAAACATTTATCATTTCATTTACAGGTCCACTTAAGTTCAAATAGCTCCATGTATGATCTTGAAAGAGCTGTAACATGGACTGAACAGAGAAGAACAGATACTCATTCCCCCACAGATTTGATAATGCTAGTCTGCTGCACTTGACAACAATATTAGCAATAAATTGCATACGAACTTTGCATGGAAAGTCAGGTAGCTTGTGAATGATTTGTACAGAGGTAAGGAGGATAAGCTTCCTTCTCTGGCCAGTCTGACAGCATCCACACCATGAGAGAAAACATTTAAGCTAAACAAAGCTTTTTACTACTATGGAAAAATTACTATTCTAGTGATCCTACAGGTGAAAGACCAAGGTAATAATACATGGAAGTCCTAATGAAACAAGCAGAGCAGACAACTTAAGGTATCTCCCAGAGTCTCATATATTGTACCTCCATGATAGTCCAGTAAAACAATAACAATAGGTGATGCAAAAAATAGAATTGGGGATAGAATCCTTTCACCCTTGAAGTCAATGCAAAAGTTTCACTGTTTTGGGAATAAGGATTCACCTGAGTGCTTTTATTTTCCAGTATTTACAGTGAAGAGGTGACTAGTTCACAGCACTCAGCTCCTCTATCTGCTGTGTGCTTTAAAAAAAGTTATAAGATTTTAAGAGCTGTATTTAGCAAGTAGCTCCACTGGCTTCTTACGTATTACAGGAACCAGTCAATGATTAAAATAATGATGATTGAAATGAATAATTTTGCTGATTGCCATCATTGTTGCTGGCTTGTCTCCAGATATTTATATTTCCTTTTCCTCCTTCTGTTCATCCCACACAATCTTCCCTCCATGGCTCACTGTGGCCACAATTAATGTGAGGACTATTTCTTCTTCTTCCTTCCGCGTCATTGCTTTTTTCCAAAACTTTATTGAAATTCACAGTTTTTAAAAAATAATATAGCAAGCAGTGCTTATTGTTTCATTCAAGTATGTCATTTAAGAGAAAGAGACTGAATCAATACAATTACACAATGAAAAAACACACAACACATTTTTTTTTGTTTTGCCTGCATGTATATCTATAAAAAATGGCAGCAAAAAATATTTTCTAGAGCTTGTAGTCTTCCTGAGGGGGCCTGTTAAAATCCAAGGGAATCTGTCATTGCAAATGATGGAATCCCAGATGAGAAGAGTGGGGATTAGCCTGACAAAACATCTGCCTATGACAACACGCAGTGCCAAGTGAAACAAAGCTCCACCAGACTGATCCAGGCAGCTTAACGTCTGCACTCTGCCACCACCTCCCCCTGACAGCTAGGCATGCTTGCAGAGAATGTCTGCTTCTTCCTGACACTGCTGAAAGACTGAAAATCTCAGTGCAAGTGTGGCTCTGCCTTAGCACAGCTCTGCCTTAGCACTCTGCACCAAAAGTGCTGCGAATGCTTTGCCCTCCTCAGCTGCAAAGAGGTAAGGATTATAACTCTGACAAGACAGTGTTACTTACTTGGGATAGCGCCTCTGCTGAAAGATGGGCAGAATCTCTGCATCTTGATTTGACTGTAGAAGCAGTAAATCCCGAAATCTTTCTGTCAGGACAAAGAAAAAAAGAAAACAAACCCAGACTGTGACTCTGCATTTTATGTTCAGGCTACCAGTAAGCAAGCAGTAATACGAGTGAATTCCCTTCTCCAGCACTGATAATTAGCAAAGGGCCAAGCTAAGTTTGTAGTGAAGATAAATCTATATATTCACACAGACAAAACTCCTAAGACTAGAAATCACTCTTTCCTGTAAACTCCTTTACTAGTATTTTAAAATGTTTTGTTTTTTTATTTCCATGTAATGCTGAATTCCAATAACACTCTGAAGTTTCTGAGGTCTGCATATAGGACTTCTGCATATCATACACAGCAAGAAATTGTCCCTGCACTGAAGAGATCAGTCTAAACACAAAGGAGGAACAACTAAGAATTCACCAAGCATTCAAAGATCATAGTAGTCTAAATGAATGTAAATTAATTAATCAAAATTAAATCAACATATAAGTCCTTGGGTAACTGACTCACTGACATTTCTAAGGAAGGCTGAAAGAGTGCATTGCTTTTTGCTCATTACTATTGCCTTAGTTTCAGATGGGACAGATTTGTTCAGTGTCTGGTATGATGCTATGTTTTGGTTCTGGGAGAAAAACAATGTTAACACATCGGTAGTTATAGTTGCTGCTAAGCAGTGTTGTACAAAGTCCAGACCATTGATAGAGAATGGTCCAAGTACCTGGAAGGGAACAGAATTAGGACAGCTGACTTAAACTGGCCAAAGGAATTTTCCATACCATATAATATCACATGGGAGGAGTTTTGAAGGGCATGGGAGTTCATCTCACTCTCTTCTGCTGCTTGGGGGGGGGGTTAGCTGGGCATCAGTCATGGGGTGGTGAGCAACTGTGCATCATTTGTTATATACCTGTTATATACATTCACACACGTATTTATATACATACACATAGTCCTATTATCCTTTTATCTATCATAGTAAATAGTTTTATCTCAACCCACAAGTTCTATTTATTTTATTTTTTCCAATTCTCTCCCCCACCTCACTGGGAAGAGGGTGAAGGGAGCAAACTGCTGTGCGATGCTCAGTCACCTGTCAGGTTAAACCACAAGGACAATGTATTTGAAAAAGTGAACCACAGTGTCATTTGCAGTAGCTAAGTTACTTGTAACTTGGCTTCTCTGACCAGTAGGTGTGGGGACAGCTGCTTTGGGTAGCTGCCCTTAACTGATGTTCTAGAGGTAACTCGATGCAAAACAGATGTGGGATCTGTACAAGATTCTATCAGTATCAATTTTTCAGTTTGCTGTAGATGGGAACCTCCTCAAATTATCTTGATAGAAAGAAGGAAAATACACTCAAGTCAAACTCCCTTAGCACAGTTCTCAGCTCTCCACATCATGGGCATGCTCTGCTTCTTTCCATGCTCTGCAACTTTTATTTAACTACTCCTCTAGTAGCACAGATACTGAGGACGCTGCTGATATATTTCCCACCTTGGCAACTCCTGCTTTTCCTGCAACACCTATATACCTTGAAGGCTTCAGCTACAGAGTTTAAGCCTCCATCATCTGCTGAGCCACTACTGTTTGCAGCCTGTTGTAGCTGAGCTACAAGTTTCTCTAAACTAGCCATCTTTTTCATATATCATTCTCTTTCTGGGAATTGAACTTCCAACAAATGTAGACCTTCCTTCCTTGGTATCCCTAGGTATCTCAAAATATCCTCCAAAATAAGGTTTACAGATAAGGATATCAAGGGACAGAGAATCAATGAAGATGAATCTTCCAGCTCCAAAAAGGAGTAATTTCCTACTTCTTACAGTTGAGCATGTGATGGTTTTCTCAACATTAATTTTTATGTCATATTATATAATTACAGCTAAAATAGATCAATTCGGATAAAGTTCTACTAAGTAGCCATTTAAATGAAAAAAAATCACCTATGCTTCATAAATTATATTACTTTGATGAAGGAGCAATAAGTTCAAAATAAAAAGTGTCCTGATAAAGGCTCAGTTGTAAAGGTCAAGCCCTTCTGATGGTATGACCTAGTCTTCCAACAGCTAGCTAGGAAGTTTAGCAAACATCTCAAACAAAACTCCAGCAAAGAAGAAACAAGGATTAATAGTTGCTACCTTCATTTCCAGATCTCTTCAAATTCAATTTTGAAGCATATGTACCTGTGAAATTCTTACCACATCTTCAAAGGTAGCTCTTAGCTTTTCCTGTACCTGCCTGGGACAGAAACAGGATGTGGCCAACAACGATAAATATAACGCTGTAAAGATGGAAATAAAATTCATCGGGCATTTGTCAAGGAAGATCCTGCTCACTGTCTTGACAAAAACCTTTGTCGTTTTTTTACCTCTTTCTGAACTTTCAGGAAGAGGCAAAGATTTTTTTTATTGCCAGTCCCCTGACACACGGCAGTATGCTGCATGCAGGCATGCCGTCATCCTTCCAGATGGTATGCTATGATCTTCGAACGCCGCAAGACAAGAGATGAAAGATTTAAGTAGTGCAAAATATCCAACTGTTTATGTGTCAGAGCAAGCACATTAACTTCCTCTGCCACCTGAGGAATCCTCATGTATTTTTGATATCTCCCAAGACAACTCAAGTTACTGGTGCCACTCTAGGAACTCTTTATAAATAGGCTTCCTATGAACAACAGTAGCCTTTGTATATGCCTGGTGGAGGAGTGAGAGGAAGTTTTCAATGGCAAACACTGAACAAAAAGACTTCCCTCTGTGACCTGAGCGTTTTGACCTTCAGTGCACAGTTTAAGTCACACCTATGAAGGATTTGATTAATAAAATGTCTTCTTGGTGCCTGATCTATTTGTTTTTAGCACATACAACCAGGTGAAAAAGCAATGGAAAACACTGAGAGTCACTCTCCATTCAATATTGCGCAACACTCAGTACATTTAAGTGTGTCAGACTGCTCTGGCAAATGTTACAAGAGCCTGTAATTTGGGAGAGACGAAATTGATCTCATGTTGGGCACAGATGTGTCCCACACCAGCATTCTACTTGCATCCAGGCTGGGTTCCATCTCCAACCTCTATTCTCTGACTTCTGGTGCTGCCCTTTCTCCTTGGCCTAGGTCTGCTGGCTGCATTCCACAACTCAGTTCAACAAGTTGCCATCTTGAAAATATTTCAAATAGCAATGCGACAGGGCTGGCGAATATTGGGAGTGAAAGCAGCCAAAGCATCTGAAATTGGCTTAAACAGCTCTCCTGTTTGGATCCTCCTGGATCGTGTTTTAGTTAAACTCTATTTTTTTCTTCTTTTTTTTTTCCCCCTGCCCTATGGCAAATTTCCCAGGCAGATGTGTTTTCTTTTCACCATATGAATTTATCCATTTTTCCATAGCAACACTCATGCTTATATGGTAGTATTCCACATCACCTCACATACATCCTACAACTTTTTCCAGCACATGGAGCCTCCACGTCCTATAAATCTTCTTAAGAGAAACGGCACACTGAACAGAACTCTTTAGGATTAATTCCTCCACAGGATCATTATGTACACGATTCACCCTTCAGGTCTAAGATACTTTCTATTACACATATACACACAGCGCGAAAGTCAAATTGGTACAAATGACACCACTGCCTTTAAGGACAATCCAGCAATGTGATGAAGGAGGTGATGAGAGCTTCAGCTGCAACTGATGAGACATAGGTACGTTTGATGCTTCTACAAGAGTATATCAGAAGCCTAAAGCACAAAAAGGGAAGGTTTTTCAAATTACAGTAACAAACAGATAAACAAGCAAAAGCAAACAACCAATAGATCACAACAACTTCCAAGACAGACAAAGGTGGGAGATAAAGAGGACAGGGGAGTTTCAAAAAAGAAGATAGAATAGTTTTGCTGGAAGGGACCTTCAAAAATCAAGTCCAATTGCCTGATCTCTTCAAAGCTAACCAAGACTTAAAGTGCATTATCTGAATGACTCTTGAACTGGAAGGTATAGGACTTCAGCCACTTCTCCAGGAAGCTCATTCCAATGTTTTGCCACCCTCACAGTACAGAAATGGAACTGGAAAAACAAAATAGTCTTATCAGTTGTAAAGCAGAGAACATTGCAGTCCAGGAATCTATTTGTTTACCAAAAGATCTATCTGTATATTTAGATCTTTGAAAAATTAGCAAACATGTTTCTGTAGTTAACCTTGGGTTTCTGCTGTCACTGGAGACGCAAATCTCAGCTCCATCTTTCACTACATGGACATCTGTAAACTCTATTTTTGCTACCTAAAAACATCTCCGCCTCTTGTTTTGCAAAATGCAGATTAGTCTGGAACCTTCTGAGTTATGGATGCCTCCTCAGTGTCTTGGAACAATAAAAAAATAATTAGGTCAGCTTTCTTAAAACTGCCAACGGTATCCGAAAAGATTTGAGACCCACTAATCTGTCTTGTTCTCAAGGTCTGCAAATTTGGAAATACTGTCATAAGCACTTCCTCAGTGCTTTGAAAAGAAAAAGCATTTAGGGAGAAGCCTCTGCTAGTGAAGGGCTATAAAAATTATGAGTAACAAGATGGGATAAAACCGAAACATCTAGTATATTACTTTGACCTGTGACTTATTAATGGTCAGAACTTCTGAAGTAAAGCAAGCGTCACATTAAGCAGTCTCAGAGCTCAATGCTGTCAGAAATCCTGCACGTTATACAGCAGCCCCCTAGCAGAGCTGGGGATTAGGTAGACCTCTGGAGTTCAAAACTAGTATCCTAATCAAGAGATTTATTTTTTCTCCGATGTACCATACTTGAAGAGCATTTTCTTCACAGAAGTGTTTATTCCAGAACATACTAAAAGGTAACTTTAACCTCAAAATATCATTATAAATACATGCTATGAAAGAAATGTTATTTGCACTGAATTTCGTAGCAGTGAGTCCTACAAGCTCCCTATGGCTGTGAAGGGCTGTTCCTTCCTGTTTGAACACCATGAGTCAGTGCAGGGAGGCTCAATTAGCTCTTTTTTCATTAGCGATGCACTTTCCTCTTTCA